GAAAGAATTCCAAGCCAAAACTTTAGTTCCTACCTATCTCAGCCACGAACCAGCCATGCAAGTACTACTCGGTAGCACTACAACCCAGGGTAGGTTTCGGCTGCCCTGACTATTTGCCGCTACTTAGAAACGGTCATTTGCCAGCTCCCTTTATTATTGCTGGTCCACTGCAAGGGTAAATAGATCCTTGTTGATTTTATCCCTCTATCTAAGCCGCGGTTTCCCCAGTGATCTTATTCTCGCTTTATTAGTCGATCGTTTTGACTTATTTGTATGTGCCCTGACCGTCTTAAGTCTGCTAGACTTTATTTCCTGAATGATGTCAGAGCTTTGATATATTTGAGTAAGCTCTACTTCTCATTTTGTAACGGCCGGTTCCAGGGTCTCAGTATTAGTCATGATATATTGCAGGATTTTTCTCCTAAACCTTCTGGCATGATGCGAACTGTCAGAATCCATGTTTCACGGGCGTAGGTTGCTACTGGTGGCTTAGCAGGGTTTGCATTGCAAATCTGTATCTTTTTGCTTTTGTGAAACGCTGTTTAATCTTTCCCTGCATCAGGGGCGGCTTCTCAATAAGTGCGCTCGTGCGCGCGCACTGCCTCCAAAAACCAAGCAAGAAAATAAAATTAAAATTTTGGAAAGAAAAGAAACTTCAATTAAAAAATACCTATCCAATTTTCTAAATTAGGATAAATATCTACTCATTTTTCTATTTTTAAATTCGCACGAACGGAACGAAAGCGCGCCCTGCGCCTGTCTTGTATATTTTTTTCTCCCGCTTGGTTATGCTGGTGGTCCGGGTGGTCGGTGTGGAATCGATCGGCGCTCTGGGTAAATGTGTTTTCTCGCTGTGCGATTGATCGGGAATATACGGTAAAGTCGCCCGATGAAAGGGATGCGCCGTGCGCTATTTGAATACACACTTCCAATGTTGTTTCCACTCAATCGAGAATATTTCGATGTTTTTTCACCATTTTGGCGGTTTGACAACTTTGTTGTTCGCGGTTTTTTTCTTTAATTATAAATTTCAATATCAATTATGTATTATGGCTAGAATACAAACATTCAAGCCTCATTTAAATACATATATTTTTGTTTTCGATAATTTTTCCTAAAGTAAAAAGAAAAAAAATCAACATACAAAATAAATGTAAAACAGGACGTGGCACCTCCAAAAAATTTTCCAAGAGCGCACAACCACACTAGGTTGCCAGTGGCCGCCACTGCCCTGCATATTATTGTCTACCATTATCACTGAGCCCAGTTTCGCGAGAGACATGCATGTACTTGGTCTTCGCTTTATTTATTGGGAAATCTTTTCTCTGAGCTTCTTTTTCTATCTTTTAGTCGGAGCGGTTAATCAAAAAAATGGACAGAATCTTGCAAATTGTGATAAAAGCATGAAATTTCGTATAAATGATTTTTTTACAATTATAAGCGATTTGACCCACATGACCCCCTTGTCGGACCCATAGGAGCAAGATGGCGACTATTGGCAAGATGGCGGCTATCAAGAGGTTGAAATTGGTAATTGTGAATCGATTTCAGCAAAATTGGGGTCGTTTTCGAATAATTTTTGATCGGAAAATGTAAGGAAATATATAATTAAGTGATTGAAATTTGAGTAAAAAATTAAAATCGAAATTCTGGTACTTATTTTTGCAAACGCATGCAACTACATGTTGGAGTGTATCTTATATGAGATCTATTCTCAGCAGGATGGTGCTCCATCTCATTATTCATTATTCTTTAATATCAGTAAAATCACTAGATATGGTATTTGGGGAAAGATGAATATAGGAAGAGCTGGTTCTATAGAATGGGCACCTTACTCTCCTGACTTGAAAGCTCCAGACTTTTTTCTCTGGGGTTATATCAAGGAGAGTATAATCCTTTGCCAAATAGCCTGGAAGATCCAGCGGAACATTCGTAAAGTCATTGAAACGATTCCTCAGAAAATGTTACATAATTCCTTCAACCATTTAGTGATCCGACTCCATAAATGCGTGGAGCAAAATGGCCAACATATACATCTCTTTTTACAGTTTTATCCAGATTGTTACCTTTTTATCAGTCAAAGATAATGGCGAAGCTTTGTGAATATGCTGATAAAAAATGAGTTTGCAAAAATACCCAGGATTTCAATTTAAATTTTTTACGGCTGAAACTTTAAGTTTCAAGGACGATGTTTATTGGTACATGGATACCTTGAACATGACTCGTTTTTTTGACATTGTAATATACAGGGTGTTCCATTGAAAATAGTGGAGAATTTCGATGTTGAAAAACTGCATTTTCTTTACTGGCCCGGTATAAGTATCAAAGTATCAAAAGTATCAAAAGGCCAAGAGAAGTCGAATGAAGCAAACCGCAAGTGGCTAGCATACTTTGTTCAAAAGTTATGAGCATTTGAAATGAGTCACTCTCGGCTAGGACATCCTGTATTATTCAAATTTCAATCACTTAATTATATATTTTCTCACATTTTCCGATCAAAAATTATTCGAAAACGACACCAATTTTGCTGAAATCGATTCACAATTACCAATTTTAACCTCTTGATAGCCGCCATTTTGCAAATGGTCGCTATCTTGCTCCTATGGGTCGGACAAGGAGTTCATGCGGGTTGAATCGGTTATAATTGTGAAAAAAAAATCATCTGTACCAAATTTCATGCTTTTATCACAATTTGCAAGATTATTCGACTAACCGCCCCGACTATTTATAAAATTCTCCTTCATACTGACCAGGCTCTCTCCCACTGCGCCCATATCACCCACGTAGGCCACAATAAATTTGGCTCCAAACTGGACCTCTGCGTTAACTGATGCTGCTCCTACCGCTTCTAGGGCAAGGTTAAATAGTACTGGTGTACCTCTCTTGAGCTTCTGTTGATAGGAAAGGCTGTACTCTCCTTCCTATCTCTTTGTCCCCTCTAGCCACGCTCTACACAGTCGTATCAGCTTATGAGAGATTTCAAGTTCTTCCGTAGCTCCCCACAACCTTTCCCTGATAACACTATCATATGCCTCTTCAAAATCTTGATCGCTTTAATAATTGTAACTTTCATGGTTAGAGGTGAGATTAGCCTCTACTGTAGGAAACAGTAATTTCGGTTTCTTCCTGCGCCGAACAGTTCAGTTCATCAAAGTAGTGCTTCCAACTGTCTGATACTTTTACTTTGGATGCAGTGAGTGTGCCATCGTTACGCCGTACCATTGTGGTACTTCTTGGGTATGGAATTCCTTTTTATGCCTCCTTACTAGAACCTTCCTTGCATCACCGTTCTGGGAATCAATCTATAAGTTTGGGTTAGTATGGGTTACTTTTTCTGTCTCTTGTACTTTTTTCTTTTTCCTGATCAGTTTACGTAGCTGTGTTTTTAGTTCGTAAAATTTAGTTGTCGTTAGCTATGAAGCATTTTAAAACGTGCCTCTGTTTTGGCATAGTCACAGTCAAGAATTTTTATACAAGGTCCCTCAAACTGCAAAGAGGCAAAAAGCCTCGTAAAATTGAACAGGGGCCAACTATATAGTCTGCGATGCCCTCTTCAGTCGCGGACTACGATAGATACCTTGATTACCAGGTTTCTGGAACCTGATGAAATAAAGCATGTCCGACCTGAGCGGGTCTGCCTTTCTTAAAAGTTGCGGGCTCCTAAGGTTAGACAGGTCTGCACCAAGAAAGGTATAGTACAATGGGCCACATGCGTGTCTACGTGCTGCCTGTAAACGCTCCCCTTTCAAATTAATCAATCAATCAAGTGACAATATGCGGGTTCTAACTTTGGCTGCTATAAACAGATAATCGGATCGGCTTTAAGGCTTTTCACGTCGAACATTATAAACATATCGCGTTGATTCGAGATCCACGTTTATTTCGCGTTGTAATCATCTAATACTATAAGTTTATTTTTGTTTGGGTACTTTATCATTAAATCGGCTTGTCTGGTATCATAGAAAGTATCTTTTATGTCATTCTATGCTGCATCTGTTGGTGCATAAACGGACATTAATTGAGGTTGCACAGTTTGCCTTTGAGAAAAATTTCCGGAAACTTTCCTGGTTGTCACGGAAATGTGTCTAATTACATGCCTTTCATTGGCTTAAAATATAAAGTTATATCTACGTTCACTTTCAAGACCTTTTTAAACAAATTGGTAAATAAACTCGGTCTTTAACATAATTACATTGTGGCTACATTTACATCCTCAGCTCTAAAATGAAATACACCACTTAGCAAGCTCTAATCCATTTAGCATTCTATTTACCAACTTCCAATATCTTTTTTCAAATGTTAATCAAACAGAATGCCGCACTTATCGTAACCAATGTCTTATGCTCCTTTTTGTCTTGAAACGGTTTTGAATACTAATTTGAAATTCTCATGAATATATGATGTATTGGCGTTTTCTTTTGCTAAAAAACTCGTTTGAAAGGTAAGCCCACTTGACCCCATTTTTTTTTCTGTGGGACACAAATTGGAAAACGGTTTATTTGAATGAATAACATCTTCTGGATGAGAATGCGTACGTCAGCAAATTGGATTGGATTGTTATGAAAATTAATTTGAAAGCGATGTTACCGTGACTCCTTAATATAAGATACCTACTATACTAGTTATTAAATTAAAAATAAATATCCCTTAACTACATGAAAACATGATATGAAATGTTTTATTTTTTCCTGCTTTAAATAGGTCAAGAGCCCTTCTTGAAAGCCACCTACTAGACTATTCAGACTTCAAAATGATGACGATTAGTATTCAACAGCGTTCCGCGTGTATCCGATGCACAGATTTGAAAGAAAAAAACCGGGTGCGGTAAAGCGTTCCGTTACGCTCGATTATCCTGTGGCATAAATGGTAGTTTGTTACCTATTCAGTAGGATAAGGCAACGCTTTTAGCTCACATTTATACAATGGAGAGAATATTCTGGTATCTCTTTGAGAAGTATATGTAATATAGATATATGAAAGTTTTTTTTTTTTTTTTTCAGTTCTACGGCAAGTGACCTTATATCAAGAAGAGGCGTTTTTTCCAGAAGGTACTATGGATCAGTTGAACAGGTAATTAATCATATTTTTTTATTGGCATAAGGTGAAATTAAGAAAAACAATACTATTTTGCACACGGTTCTTTATACAATAAGAGTTATAATTGCTGGCAAAAGATAAGTTTTGGTTTCAACTCAACGGAAGATAAACTGTTCAAAGTCAGAAACGTGGACTTTTGAGCCCTATCAATTTTTAATGCTTAAAAAGAAAAGCCCTGCGATGTATTGCGGGTTAAACGGATACTACTAGAAGAGAAAACTGATGCCTGCTGATGAATTAAGAATAATTCATATTGAAAATGTAATTACTGTACTGTCACATACTTCGTGGGTCCACTTACGTTGAATTTTGAATTTTTGGAAAAATAGATGTTCACCTCGTAGGAAAAGCCACGTTCCCGGATCGCCACTCTCGGCTTGCACATCGACAGGCATGATACGGTCGTGAAGGAATGTTCAAATTTTTCTCCTAGGATTACAATAGAATTTTTCTGAACTAATCTGACTTCACTAAATTCACTTATAGCTTTTACCTAAGTTTATACAACAATTCTCCCATTTACACTAACTGACTAACTTATAAACTACGCGCTTTATATACAAAGATATTCAATCGAGTTGCATGCTCAGAAATTCTCAGCTTTACATGAAATGATTGCGGAGTACCTAGCCCTTGTATTTACGGATTTGCACAGACATATTGATACTTTCGAGATTGTCATCATCCAATATGATAGTAAGGCATTAAACATGTAGAGATATGGTGTACTCTTAATGTTCACGTAAGTGGTTTTAATTAGATCTAATGAAGTTCCTTACGACATGACCTTTCAGCTTCAAATGAATCTCAACAGGAGCAATTTTCTCCGAACTCCCCAATACGAAAGAAGCTGAAATAGTATATTTATATCCAATACATAGAATTATCACATATTTATATTCCAGAAATTGATTCTAGATTCCCAATAGATACTTGTAGCCCACGCAGTTTTATCAGCCCATATAATATTGCCTACCACTATTTTGCAAATTGCATGAAGAATGAATTATTCTAATAAGTGTAAACCGCAGACGCAATATCATTTCACAATAAAACCGCAGAATCAACTCTGTTCCAGTTCCAGTTTTAAAACTAATGAGTTACAAAAATTTTAGTTTATACCACTGCATTTTTACGATGTAATGAAAATTTCTTGCCCTGGAAATATTCAAACGAACGTGACCTATGTTATACCGCCGCGTATGATTATCCAGATTAAAGTACCAGTAAATTTCGAAAATGGATATGGTATATCAAATTATGCTCGAAAAGGAAACGCCGAGATATTGGAGACTTCAATAAAAATTGAACATTAATTATTCTGCTGATACGACTTCATTGAATTCGAGTTCAAACCCAGCGAAAATTAATTTTTCCGAACCTTTGCCTGTGGACCATTTGAAGTTAATCAATTGAATTTTATCATTGCAGGAAATAAATAGTTTTAATTGTCAAAAGAATTAGACAAAAAGTTGAAAGCTAACTTGAAACATTTCAGAATGGAACACTGTAATCTAGAAAAAAGACATTTTTTGTTGTGAAAACGTACCATTGATTTTTACGAATCTTATTAAACATCAAATTAAATTAACTGACAGAACACCGAAACTTCAATTGGAACAAAATATGATAAGAGAGTCAAATTCATCATTTTCAGCACCTATAATAATATTAGCAAAGAAAATTGATGAATCAAAATCTGTCTATGTGTTGGTCATAGGAAATTGAATGAAAAAACTGTTAAAATGTTAAACTTTCACTACTACATACTATCAAATTGGAATAGACGCAGACGACGTTCACAAAACAGCATTCAGTACAGATGTAGGGCATTACGAATTCACGAGCATGCCATTCGGATTGAAAAGCGCCCCCGCATCGTTCTACCGAGCGATGAATATTTTGCGCGAATTGCGAAATGAAATTTGTTTTGTTTATTTGGATGACTTTACCATTTGTAGCAGCAGCTTACAAGCTGCACATGCTGAACTTACGGAAAATCTTCGAGAGATTACGCGAAGCTAAATTCAAAGTAGGTACTTGACAAATAGGAACGTTTGAGACCGGAAGTTCAATATCTAAGACAAATTGTAACAAAATACGGCATTGAGTCAAATCCAAATAATGTTTTGAACATTTGCAAAATCGTTTGAATTATGCGCTAATTTTATGAAACCCAGATTTTTTTTGACCCTTTATTAACACTACTGCCCCCAGTCCGATCGCATTTATAAGTCGAACCAAGAGGTAATTAGAACTAGATACTCTACTATCGTTACAGAAAGAGTTGTAGTTGTTTGTGCTTATATTCATTCATTATCAAAACATTCAGGCCCTATCTTTATGGACGTAAATTTACTCTATATTATATCAGCGTCCACTAGTGTGCCTATTTGATATGAGAGGGCTAAATTCCAAACTAGTTAGGGCGCCAACGTCTAGAAGATCCCAAAATGAAGTCACAGATGCTTTATATCTTGTATACCCTTAAACGTTTACAAATAAGATTCAATAGTCAATGTGATGTTTAAACCAAGAGACACTAGATTAATTAAAAAACTTCGCCGGACATCCAATTCTAAGCACATCTATAATGAAAGTAAGAAATCTAACAAAACTTAAATGGAAGTTCTGTGATAAATTGAAAACCTAAAACATCAGACAACACTCTACATAGTAATAAAGACGAGAATAGTTCTGATCTTCCAATACTACAGAAAATTATCAATATTAAATCAGTTCAAATAATTATTAGGAAAAATCCCCACTTATAGTTATCAAAGTATCCGTCGATCATCGAACGGTATATGTATATTTTTTAGATGATCTATTAATGCTAGTATATACTTCAGGAAACCTAAAATATGATGATGATGATGATGATGACGATGAATAGTACTTTATTGTCCAAGAAACATTACAAGTAATAGATCTTGTTGACAAAGCATGCTTGAAAACTAAATAAATATCAAAGATTGAGCAGCGTCGATAGGCTAGAAGCGGAACAACAAAAAATTAAAAGTAGGTAATAGTTGAACCATACGACACTAAAAAACTAACAAATAAAAAAACATGAACTAATCAAACAGTGAAAAAAAAATTAAAAAATTAAGCAAAAGGAAACCTGGCAATAGGGTCAATTCAAAATCCAACATGTCAAAAACGATAAAACCACTTACGTATATAGCCAGTTGATTATTCACATTTAACAATTGAATTATTATTGGCCTTCGGAAAGCCCCTAGTGTCGAAGCATTTCTAATCCGCAAACCGCATATTATATATTTTGAAGTGAATTGACCTCTTAGCCAGATCCTGATCAGAGTGAGCTATTGGGAAGGGGATAGGGATACCATTATCATGACGGGTCTGATGCACTCGCTGATGCGTTGGGAGGTTCTGCTTATTTTTATGGATTAAACATGCAGTTTCCACGATGAGAAGGGATTTTGGATGAAAAGCCGCCTACAGTGCGTTCTTGGATGGGCATTGCAAAAATTTCGAGTTGCTCGTTTTTGAGGAACAAAGTCGGACTGAAACAAATACAGTGCACAGGCGCCCCGAAACGGTAGTGCATATCTAATAGATGATATGCATTGCGTGTCACTTCCCTGCCCAGCTCCTGGAACTCCTGGTGGCCGATCCTCGGGCCAGGGAGTAGAGCTCCCCGATAGAACGAATGTTTTGTCCTTGTCAACGTAATCGAAAAGTAAACGAGAATGATAAGGACGAAAATTTTGTTCTCTCGGGGAGCTCCACTCCCTGGCTCGAGGATCGGCCCCTTGAAAGGAAGTTCTTACCAAAAAACAGCCAGAGGCCAATTTTTTCTTTATATAGTTTCAGAATGTGAGGATAAAATTTAAGATTTTCATCGATCATAAGCCCCAAGAATTTGGAGTTGTCCACAAGAGAGATGAAGTTGTCACCCTTAACAAGGTCCCAAAGATCACAACTGAAACTCAACTAGATAAGTTTTTGGACATGTTCAAGCACAGACAATTTGCGTTTCACTGTTTGACCTGCTCAAAATCGGATTCAATGTCCCGTTCCAGACGATCCAAGTCTCTGTTGCGCCTGAGAATGGTTGTGTCATTGCCAAACAACGTGAATAGCCTAGAGATCCCAAGTTGCGGAAGAGAATGGGTTCCAGACCCAGCCCAGTACAGATCCTTGAGGAAATTCGCATGAGGCACCCTGTCTGCCAGAAGACCCCCTATCCGTGTAAACGAATTGCTCACGGCCACGCAAGTAGCTCTCAAACCATCCCAAAAACGCGTGAAGCTTCCGGAGCAATACCTTACGACCCACGCAGTCAAATGCCTCAGACAATTCACAAAATACCGCCTCCAAAGCCTCACGCTTGTTTATGGACCGAAAAACTCCTGAGAGAAACCGGAGACTTCACCAAACTTTCAAAAAGTTTTGAGAACCTCGACAACAAAGAAATGGGTCCATAGTTTTAGATCATTATTTATTTATTTATTTATTTAAAAATTCAATACACTGTAACCTGTAATATCCCTCTTGGGATTATTTCAGCTCCGCGGCGTTATATCCCTTGAGGCAGTTGAGTATAACAGAATGATCTCCGAGTGTAACACCTATGGTGGCCCAGCTTTAGACGCTTTGGGGTGGATTCGGTAGAAAATAAGGACGCCACGTAATAAAACACCAAAGTGCACAACCAACTAAGCTGTTTGGATTTCTATTAATAAAAAAAAACTAGGGGTAGCACTAATCACGAATTGCTCCTCTAGTGTATCACCCTATGTATACCAACGAGGCCAATTAAACCTGAAAACTGAATAGGTAATCTACCTAACTAGGTACTGGTTTTGCTGTGAATGGGTCCACAAAATAAAACAACAATAGAGGAACCGCACAACAAGGAGAGAGGAAATCCGTAATAATCACTAATACACCTGGATAATTTCCACGGCAGCAACCTCAAATATAATCCCCAAATGGGTGCC